ACCCACTTTGATGCATTTTTCAAATTTTGCCTTGGGGCGGAGTTATCTTTTCACACTGGGGGTAAGATACACTTTAAGGTCCTTAAAGAGATATTTGCTCTGTATTATATGAATTTACTGTAAATACTATAGAAAATTGTTCATCAATAGATATTTTACAACGTTTTTATTGGTGATTGATTTTATGTAAAATCAAAATAATGGAAACACGTCTTCCAAACGCTCATTGATGTTTGAGATTTGATCTTCTGAGAAAACTGCTAATTTTCTAGTTGATTGATCCATCTTGTCCTCCAGGTTTCTAACCAATCGAGATTCTTCATTTTATTTTGGTGTGAGAGCTTCTACATCTCCTTAGAAAGCAGTTAAAAGATGAGGAAGGGCTAATGAGCACATTCAAAGATCACAGAACAGTAAAGCAGGTTATCTCTTAAATATTTTGGGCCATAAATTGTTTCCTGAATAAAATAAACAAGGCTGTTTAATTTTATATGATGCCAATGAAATACTTTTTGATAGGGGAAGTGTATAATGGTTTGGAAACTGCAATCAGAAACAAAAATGTCAGATTTTGTGTCCTACAGATGGAGCGTACTCTGTTCGAGGACACCGTGAAGACACTGAATAACTTTTACGCTGAGGCAGAAAAGATCGGAGGGCAGTCGTAYCTGGAGGGCTGTCTGGCCTGTGCCACGGCATATCTCATCTTCCTCTGCATGGAGACGCGTTATGAGAAGGTCAGGCTGCTCACCAAACTATTCAGGCGTTTTGAAGCTTCAGGCGAGTTTAATGTGATTTGACTCCCTCACATTTTCTCACCTCATGTGTCAGGTGCTGAAGAAGATAGCCAAGTACATTCAAGAGCAGAACGAGAAGATCTACGCTCCCAGAGGTCTGCTCATCACGGACCCTGTTGAAAGGGGAATGCGTGTCGTATCCTTGCTCGTTTTAGGGAGACCTAAGAAGTGTAAAGACTGATGAAACGTCTCACTTATTGACTTGCGTGACGAAAATTGTGTAGCTTCTGTTTGTTATGTCTTTCTGACACTATGGCTGAACATTGTGTCCAGTCAGAACACTCACTTGAACCATGTGGACGTATCTTCTGGAAGAGCACGCTACATGATGTCAGCATAATACTGCTGCTCCCGGCACTTCATCTAAAAATCCCTTAAAACTTGCATTTTTATAAACAAATAGATTATAAAGTATGGAAAGGACAATGGTAAAAGACAAGCAGTGTAAGTCGCAATCAAAGAAACAAACAATGCTGTCAATGAAGACAACACTAATAAATAAGATACATTATCTAAAGCTAACAAAGCTAACACTGCTAAGGCTAGTAGAGCAGGAATTGGAGGGTGGGGAAGTCAAAGGCTGTGTCCAAAACGGCAGGACGGGTCCTCCGAAGGTCGAATTTGTCGGCCGCATACGTCACAGC